CAGCGATCCCATTTTGCTGTGGAGAGTCCGGAAGCGTAAAGGTCTGGCGGATGCCTCGCGCACGGCAGTAGACTCGCAGAAGGCCAGAGGAGAACTCTCCGCCTCGGTCAGAGTGCAGACGCAGAACAGGAAAGTCCGAGCCGAAGCTCCTCCTGAGCTGGAGACGAGCCTCGCGGATCCAGTCGATTAGCACCGCAGTGACATCGCCCTTGCTGCGCAAGGGGAAGACTGTGGTGTAACGCGAGTAGTCGTCAACCACCAGCAAGAAGTAGCGCTCGTGACCCTGTCCACGGACGCGGGCCGGGCCCCACACGTCCATGTGAAGCGTCTGCAGCGGGGCCTCTGTCGGGGGAAACTAAGAGGAGTGAGGGGCAGCCCGGAGGCGCCCCTCAACACAGGGGACGCAGGAAGGACCATGTCCAGGAGGAAGGGGAGGGAGGGACCGGGGAAGACCAGAGACAAGGACACGGGAAGCCATGCCTCGGAGACAAGGCAGGGAGGGGTGACCAAGACGGTGGTGCCACCGGAGAGTCTCGTGAGACAGGAGGCGACACGAGCAGGGGGCAGACTCAGGACCAGACCTGGACGCTGCAGCAAACACCTGACCCGACGCAGCTACCTGGCCAGACGCAGGGACAGGAGGAGACTCAGTGGTCAGGGTGTAGAGGCTCGACCCCGGCCGACGCGTAAACGTGGCCAGGTGCCGGCCTGTGCGAGCGTCCGAGCGGTGGGTCACCCGCTGGCTCGCATGAGTAAACTGGTGAACCCCCGCATCCTGTAGGTCAGCACCACTCACCAAGTTCGTAGAGAACGAGGGGAGGTAAAGACCAGACAGGGTGCCCGAGGGGGCAGCCGGACACGGGAGGAAAGTGGAGAAGTGAGAGAGGACAGGACCCCCAAAAGGGTCTGCCAGGGAGACTAGAACTGGCCGACCAAGCGGCGTGAGTGTGGTGCGGTCTCGAAAGAAGGAGCGAGAAGCGCCTGAGTCAAGTGTGAAGGTGAGGGAGGCCGAAGCCGACGCAGTACCTGAGAGCGCAGACTCACCAGTACCTGAGGGCGCAGACGCACTGGCACCTAGAGCAGCAGCCTCACTAGCACCTAGCGCAGCACTACCAATGCCCGGGTTGGGCGGGAAACACCGGTAAGAGTCACCCTCATCACTAACAGTCACAGCATACATGGCAGCAAGGATAGCATCAAAGTGAAGATCATAGATAGCTACGCCTGCCCTAGACAGCTCTCCCCAGCGGGGGATCTCACTAGCCTCCGGAAACTGCTGACGCCAAGCGTCCGTCAGGCGGCCAAAGCAGCGCTGGGTGGGGTGGGCACCCCCACACTGCTCACCCGCGCGGTCGCCGGTGCGAAAGACGTAGCTGCACGGACCAAAACCCCCACCACGCTGACGCTGCGTGTACCACTGACGGAGCTGCCGAGGGGAGGGGATGTCACGAGACCGCTCCTGCTGCTGCTGCTGGCGCTGACCGCCACTGGAGCCGCTCCGCTGCGAAGCACCACCCCGACCAGCTCCACCTCCTCCACCACCGCCGCCTCCACCTCCGCCACCACCGCCGCCTCCGCTCCCATCGCTACCGCCGCCGCCTCCTCCGCCTCCGCTGCTGCCACTGACACCTCCACCCCCGCCACCACTCCCACCGCCACCCCCACTCCCTCCCCCTCCTCCACCACCACCTCCACCACCTCCGCTAGCTCCACCCGCGCCCTTGCCCCCCTTGCCCTTGCCAGAGCGGCGTCTCGCGCTAGGGGCAGACGCCGCACCGACCGACTCAAGACCAACGAGGTCGGCCGCAGCAGCAGAGGCGACAGAGGGCAGCAGGGGGGAAGGGGAACACCCCTCAAAGATGGGGGTGCGAGGGTCACCACGAGAGGCTCCTACAGCGACTATGCTCTTCTCCGCTGCTAGGAGGGCCTTCTCTAGGAGGTCAACAGTGAGAGTGGTGGGACGGACTGAGAGGAAGTGGTCCCTTACTACGCAAAGGGAGTCAGGGAGGCGGGTGACTATGTAATAGAGAGTGATGTACATGGGGGGGGGGGTTCTTGGCGCAGAACTCAGCAGAAAGCGCGGCGCGGTAGCGAGTGTCACTAGTGCGGAGGTGCGTAATGAGGTCAGCGACTGTGGGAAAGGCAGCAAGGTCAGGAAAGAGGTATGGTAGCATGAGGCGGCTCAGTCCAGCAGTGGCAGGGGAGGAGTAGCGCGCAACTACAGCGTCGTACAAGGTCTGAGCACTCTTGTACTGACTAAAGTGCGCGCGCTCAGTGGTAGGCAGGTGGCGACGCACAGCAAGACGTGCAGCAGCATCGCGAGTAGCCCACTGCGAGTGAACAGTGGCGTCAGCATCGGCAGCAGGGGCAGGCGAGGCGCCAGAGGTGAGGTCAAAGAGAGAAAGACCGTCCGCCCTATCGCACTGTAAGAACAGCTGCAGGTCGTCGACCCAGACCTCAAAGTCAATGGCCCGTCCCTCAGCGTCAAAAGCGAGAACGCTGGGAGTGGCCATGACACCAGTAGACAAGCAGAGCTAACAGTAGGGGTGGGGCAGTGCAGTGACAGAAGCTCTGCTCTCACCAGACAGGACGGTTCGGGCAGCCCGGCAGCAACCGCGGCTGTGCTGCACCCGCGGCTTGACTCCACAGCAGCTCAGGCGGCTCGGGCGGCTCGGGCGGCTCGGGCGGCTTGGGCGGCTCGGCTGCTCAGCTGCGGTGCTGCAGGGCGGCGCGGCGGTCGGCGGCTCGGCTGGATGGGGCGGCTCGGGCGACGGGCGGCGCTGCAGCAGTGGATGGCGGCGGGGCCGCAAGTGAGGGCGGCGGGGTCGGAGGTGAGGGCGGCGACGGGCCGCAGCTAAGGGCGGCGGTGGGGCCGCAGCTGAGGGCGGCAACGAGGCCGCAGATGAGGGCAGCAGGACCGCAGGTGAGGGCGGCGACGGGGCCGCAGGTGAGGGCGGCGGGGCCGCAGATGAGGGCGGCTACAGGGCCGCAGTTGAGGGCGGCAACGGGGCCGCAGGTGAGGGCGGCGACGGGGCCGCAGGTGAGGGCGGCGGGGCCACAGGTGTGGGCGGCGACGGGGCCGCAAGTGAGGGCCGCTCGGGCGATAGGGCCGCTTAGGGTGACGGGGCGGCTCAGGGCCGTTAGGTTACGGGGCCGCTTAGGGCGACGGGGCCGTTTAGGGGATGGGGCCGCTAGGGCGACGGGGCCGCTTAGGGTGACGGGGCCATTTAGGTGACGGGGCCGCTAGGGCGACGGGGCCGCTTAGGGTGACGGGGCCGTTTAGGCGACGGGGCCGTTTAGGTGACGGGGCCGTGTAGGGGACGGGGCCGCTAGGGTGACGGGGCCGTTTAGGGCGACGGGGCCGTTTAGGTGACGGGGCCGCTAAGGGGACGGGGCCGCTAGGGGGACGGGGCCGTTTAGGGCGACGGGGCCGTTTAGGGGACGGGGCCGCTAAGGGGACGGGGCCGCTAGGGCGACGGGGCCGCGAGGGCGGCGCGATCAGCCGCAAGGGCGGCTCGACGAAACGAGAGAGGGGAGCGCGACTCGGGCTGAGCGCGCTCCGGGCAGGAAAAAAAAAAACTTTTCGATGTGGTGGGCCCTAGGCACAGTTCCCACTAGGGAACCTGCTCGATACCATGAGAAACTTAGAACGAAATGAATGAACTATGAATGAACTGGGTACAAGTACTAACCCTAATTGGGTTGTACCCCTTATGGGCTACCCCACTATAGCCTACACAATATGCAAAAGCTATATGTTCTGACAGCTTGAGTTTTTTTTTTGGCTGAGATGGGGACAGGAAAGGGGGAACGCGATCGGCGATAAGTGTAAAAAAGGTCATCTATCTCGTGCTTGTCCAGTAAGATTAAGCCCTGCAAGGGATAGTGATATTGTCTATCTCTGGGGATGGCGATATTATGATTTACTTCCCAAAACATTGAGGGTCGCGTACTATACGTATAGGTTTTTTTACATTCATTTTACTCTACATAGCACGAGGGCCAAACAATTTTGGGATGTATGTCCGGGGATGATGATATTATCTATGTCTGGGGTTGGCGATAAGCAAGGGGTACCGTCAGCCCCCGGATAGAAGCGCCCCTGGGGTTATAAAAAAACACTGTTTTTTAGGGGGTGGGCTTATAATTGAGGATTTTTATAAGCGTCGGGGCTTATAAAATGACATATATGAAATCTAGTTTTTTTACACCAAAGTGTTCATCTCGTCCTTGCGATTTGAATCGAATCGATATTGTAGAGGGCTGGAATGTGAATCTCGCGTAAATTGGCAGTGGCTGATTCTCTGCCAACACGCACAGTCAGAATGAGTCAGATTGACCCCATGACAGGTCATTCTGACTGGACGCGAAGGCATTGAGTCGCGCGATGGTGAAGGGATTCGAATTTCTGAATGTGGGGATGCAAAAATTGTGTTTCGTTACAGCGTTTCCAGTAAAAATATTAAAAATAATTCAGAGGGTGGCGCTTATAATCCGTAAGCCTTTAGGGGTGCGCTTATAATCGAGGACCGGATATAAGCGCCCTCATCCTTTTATAAGCGCCGGCGCTTATCCGAGGCTTGCGCTTCTATCCGGGGGCTTACGGTACTCATCGATCTCCTCCTGCTCGTCCGACGAGTAGTTTGACCACGACTAACTAGCCCTTCTGACCTCTGTTGAAACCCCCCTGTTTCTGGCGCTTATGCGAAACCTAGTTGCTGTCCCTACTGTTTCAGGAACGACACCGCGTACGACCTCCACTTCCAAGTCGGCATCGCGCTGAAGGACCCCGGCAAGCCGGATTTCGTCAGCGCCAGCAAAGGCGCCGAAGGAACTACCGGAAACGTGGCCCTGTACTTGTCGGATTTCATCGTGACGTGGACGAACACCACGGGGACTGCCATGGCGGGTCGGCGCTACGGCGGGAAGAATAAGGGCCGGGGTTGGGGAGGAAGCTTGTTCCGGGGCCGAAACCACTCTCTGGGGGACTTGTACTCGTATTACACTAGGGGAGTCTTTCGCGACGCGTCGTCGCTCACCAATGCCGACGGCAACACGTACTTGGCCACGATGCAGGACCTTCTGAACTCGCCCGCGTCGTACTATGGGATCGTTAAGACTGGAGCGTATGGCGATGGCACGGCACGGGGGCAGTTCAGGAAAGGGCCTAAGAGATGGGGCGTGTGGTGGAAACGGGGTTTCTGCTTCAAGTGTGTCTGATTTGTATCGGAGTTGTGTTGTTATAGGTGGGTTCCTTCTAGACGAAAAAGGTTAAAGGACACATCCAGAATTACCGTGTCGGCCCGAAAACTGTCACAACTTTCACGTGATTGGTCGAAGGTTTTGAGTGGGTTTTTGACGCAATTGGTTCTCGATTTTCCCACCGAACCTCCTTTTGGGGTTTTCCGAACCTACAATTTTTTTATTGACTTCGTTGTGTAATTTGGGGTGTGGCCTTTAAGGTGGCTGTTTTATATTCATTAAACAGTACCGCGTTAGCGCTTGTCCTCCGTTTCCGTGGAGCGGACTTGTACAAACTTTGTGAACACGTTACCTGTATGAGAAATGTAAATCATGCCCTCTATATTGTTTAAAAAGTTATAAATCTTGTACATCTTTAGATGCACCAATTCGATAAGCACTAAATCAAAACTGCACTTCGCAATTTCCATATAGAGGCCTCCTTTCTGGTTGGTACGTAGCTAACATGGGCAGTACCGTGTATGTCTGTCAATTGCGATAGACATATTCAGACAATACCGTATGCTATATCCAGAAAATTCACTCGGCTACAGAGAAAACAATGGGGCCAATCCTTGACGAAAACATCTTGCTCAAAGCAACCTGAATCTCTGGCGATCCATGCTCGCTGCTTACCAAATCCGCCAGCAACGGGAAGAATCGCGCCAGGTGCTTCTTAAACGCTGCGTCCTTCAATGCAGTAACCGCCTGAAGTGTAGCCACCACCAGCGGCGCCCGAGCCACCAGCTCCCGACGCCGAGCCGAGCCGAGAGGTACGGCGAGAGGTATGGGAGGGAGGGGCGGGGCGTCTGCACCTCTTGGGTCTTCAGTCATGAGTGCGAGCTTGCCCTGAGACGTTCCCACATACACCTGGAGAGTGAAGGGAGATAGGGTGAAAACAGAGGGGGGGAAGGGGGATCATTGGATAGGAGACACGCTGGGATTAGTCCTCAAAGTGAACATGAACAGTGTCGATGGGGGAAGGAAGGCAACAGGGGGAGGAGGAGAGGGCGGAATGGGAGGGGGGAGAGGCGGGGAAGAAGGGAGGGAAATGGGTACCTGAGACTCCAGTGCCTCACTCTCCAGCCTCAGCAGCAGCGGATCGGGCATCTGAGTGGCCACATGGAGTGCTTGCAGGCATGGAGTCTACCTACATACTACGCACAGAACAACCCCTTAAGGAAGAGAAAGGAGAGAAGGAGAGAGAGGAACGTACACGAAGGACTTCTTCACAGAGGATGACGAGCCTGAGCTCACCTCCTTGGCTAGCCGAGCTTTCTCCCGTGGCAGGCGCTGCAGCAGGCTGAGGTACGCGTGCAGTGCCTCACTCTCTAACCTACCTTCCCCGCATAAAATGATACCACCCTTCTGGAGAAAGAAACAAGGAAGCATGTACCCGGAGAACCTTTTTTGCAGGGGATGACAAGCCGGAGCACTCACCCGGAGAACCTCTTCACAGAGAATCACCAGCCGGAGCTCCACATCCACTTCCTTGGCCAGCTGCGCCTTCTCCCGTGGCAGGCGCTGCAACAAGCTGAGGTACGCATGGAGCGCCTCACTCTCTAACCTCAGCAGCGGCGGATCGGGCATCTGCGTCGCCAGGTGGAGGGCTTGCAAGCGCGAGCGCAGCAGGCGGTCTGAGTTGATGGCGTGGGCGTGCGTGCCGACTCGGTGGAGCGAGTCGAGGAGGATGAGGGTGTGCGGGGCGGAGAGGGCCGCTCCGTGCATGCTGAATATCTCCGTCATTGCCTGGATGGTTGTTGGGGAGTGGTGGGGGAAAACGAGATGGGGGGGGAGAATCGAAGGTGGGAGCTAAGGAATGGTTTGCATATGCATTCTTCAAGGCAGCAGCCTGAGTGACAGCAGTGGCCCACAGTAATTAAAAGGCTTACCTACACACAGTATGCAGAGAGCTTACTTGCACGAGCAGCCACGTGTTTGAAGTAGTGTTTTGAGATGTCTCAAAAGTGACAGCAGTGGCACACAGTAATCAAAAGACTCACCTACACACAGTGCACAGTATGCAACGTGCTCACCTGCACCAGCAGCAGCACCTGATAAACAGAGAGCTCACCTGCACCAGCAGCAGCTGCACTGCAATCTTGCACCGCACATCCGCCACAGCTTCTGCCAAGGTCATCGGCCTCTTAACTTCCACTCCCTCCTCCTCTCCCCCATCCACACCACCACCACCTGCAGCAGCACCGACTGCCTCTGCAACCGCTGCAGCCAGCTGTTGATGCTGCTGCTTCTGCTCCTCCTCGTCCTCATCCCTCGTGAAATCAAACCTCCTGGCTTCCTTAATCTGCTGCTGCCGCTCCATCTCCCTCTCCTCCTCGTCCTCCAAATCTGCAGCCTTCACCACCCCAGCCAGGTCAGGAAGGGTCGTCCCTGTTGTTTCCTTAAGTGCTGTCAGCACCTCATCCCACTTCTCCTCGGAAAACAGACCTCCAGCGTTGCTCATGAGCCTCACAAACGCCGCCACGCCAATCGCTGCTAGGCTCTGGTGCGGCCGGCGAATAAATGACGTCAGGAGCGCGAGAATCTTCCCTAGAAGCGGGCTCACTTTACTGTAAAACTTCACAAAGAGATCCACTACGAGCTGAAGCGCTAAAGTGCAGGTTTCATACAGCCATGCATCCATCTCGAGTTCGGATGCCGGATCGGGACTGCCGCTTCTCGCCGCCCGGAGCCGCTCGTCTTCTGACGTGGACGGGTGGCGGGAGAGCGGCGCGCCCTTGTGATGCGAGTGCTTGTGAATCGGCACGTCCACTCCTCCTCCTGCTCCCTCTCCCCCTCTCCCTCCTCCAAGCACCCCTCCCGCCTCTCCCTTCCCTCCTTTACCTCCTCCACCTCCTTCCCCTCCTCCTCCTCCCCTGCCTCCTCTCTTGGCTCCGAGCATCATCCCACCGGGCTCGCCGTGCTGGGGTTCGGAGGCCCGGCGAACATAATCAAAGATGGGGAAGAGGACGGACTCGAAGACGCGCTCCCAGAGGGCGGCGGAGAACATGTGGCCGTGGAAGCGGAGGGTGTCGAAGAGGACCTCTAAGGCACTCTTGCGGATGTCTGGCCGCGGGTCAAAGGTCAGCTCGGACAGACCTGATGGTGAGTAGGGGGAAAAGGAGGGGGCAAAAAGAGGCAGGAAGGTGGGAAGGAATTTATTGTGAGGCATGCTAAGAGTACCTCCCGGGCACTCTTTCCAATGCCTGCCTGGCCAGGGATCAAAGGTGCGCTCGGACAGACCCGATGGTGGATAAGAGGAGAGGGGGGGGGAACGATGGAGCGAGGGAGTGAAGGAACGAGGGGCGGAATTCATTGCCTCACCAAGGTCACACAATGCATTCCGAATTTACTCATTAGGTAACCACTCACCAGCAAGGAGGTTGATCCAAAAGAAAAGGTGAACGTCCTTGTCAAAAAAAACCCTTCCCTAGCCGAATTCCCTGGCAGGTGTTCTTTAGATCAACTGCGCTTTTTCCTCACAGAGACCCCCCTGTGCTCTTGGAGTCGACTCAGTAGGCACTCACCAGCAAGAAGAGGGAAACCAGAAGAAGAGGTGATCGTCCTTATCGGTAAACTCCTCCCCATCCAGATGCCCTGGCAGGTGCGACACCTTCGAGGAACTCAGCCCCTTCTCCCTCTCCAGTGCACTCGCCCCCAGATCCCCCATCAAGTGCGTTTTGAGTTGACTCAAAACTCATCTCCCCACCAACGTACACACCACACGATCCCAATCTACTCAACAAAACACGCACTCACCAGCAAGTAGCGGGAACCAGAAGTAGAGGTGATCATCTTTGTCGGTAAACTCCTCCCCATCCGGGTGCCCCGGCAGGTGTGACACCTGAGAGGGACTCAGCCCCTTCTCCCTCTCCAGTGCACTCGCCCCCAGATCCCCCTCGGCGAGTTTCAGTGCGCAGAATCGCAGGAAGGCTATGGCGTTAAGGGAGACGTCTTTATTGAAGCGCGAGTTGGTGAACGCGATGAGGCAGTTGACGCAGTCGGTGAAGGTGGTGGTCTCGGTTTCGGTGATGTAGGGGAAGTACTCCCGCACGACCTTCTCAATTGTCTCGAAGGCGAGAAGGACGATGTTCTTGTTGTCGTCCGTGGCTGCTGTGGTGAACACCTGTAGTTAGGGAAGGTGGCGACACGAGGAGGGGGGAGAGTAGAACAGTTGTAAGATGTGGTGATGTAGGGGAAGTACTCCCGCACAACCTTCTCAATTGTCTCGAAAGCGAGAAGGACGATGTTCTTATTGTCGTTGGTTGCTGCTGTGGTGAACACCTGAATGGGGAGACAGACGGGCGCGAGAAGGGGAGAGAGTAGAACAACAGTAAGAAAGGTACAAAGATGTTGGGGAAGTACTCCCACACGACCTTCTCTATTGTCTCGAATGCGAGGAGGACGATGTTCTTGTTGTCGTCCGTTGCTGCTGTGGTGAACACCTGAATGGGGAGACAGACGGTGGAGAGGAGGGGGGAGAGTAGAAAAGTGGTAAGATGTCAAAAAGTAGGGATAGTACCCTCGCACGACCTTTTTTATTGTCTCGAATGCGAGAAGGACAATGTTCTTGTTGTCATCGGTGGCTGCTGTGTTGAACTCCTGAATGGGGAGAGGAGGAGCGTGAGGAAGGGATAAGGACATCAAGCTGTGAGAGATCTCAAGGAACCAATGCCCATTTCATCAATCTAAACCTGTGTGTAGTGTGGCGATTGTTGAGGTGCCTCAAATATCGCATCACTAGCTGTGGAACATCTCAAGGAGCCGATGCTCATTTCATCATTCTAAACCTGATTTTCCACCAAAGCTTTACAATCAATCCTCACCCTAGCCTCCCCAACCCGCCCCACCACATTCAGCATCCATCCATACAAGCTGTTAGAAACAAAAGTGTTGGTTTGAATCGAAAGATTGTGGGTACATATAGGAGATGAAAAGTATGGGAAACTAGGTTGGGTACCTGCGACATTATTGGTGAGCCAATGGGAGTGGCCACCAATAATGTTTTGGAGGTGACCGCCAATTATTGGGGGGGGGGGGGCAATAATGGTTGGAACGAACCAACCAATGTTGGTTCCCCCGCCAATTGCGGTTGAGTGGGGTTGGGGTGCACCCAACCAAAACTGGTTGGGTCGCCTTGGCCCAAAGTGTACACCCACGTTTGGGTGTTACACTTGCACATTTACAACCCAACTGATGCTATAATCTAACACAAGCTGCAGAATCCCCTTCCCTGCCCCTTTCGCGAATCCTCATGCTGGCTGTCCGTCGCATCACCACCACGAACAGCTTCAAGTCGACTCAAAAGCCACTGTTATGACTCCTCTCCCCTGTTCCCCTCCCCCTTGACTCACTATGAACATGATTCTCCACCTTGACTTAACATCCCCACGCAGGAAACCACCATCTGAGCCAACTCAAAACTCGGTTTTTCCCTGTCCCCTCTATCCACCCCCTTTCCGACTCACCATGAACATGATTTTCCAGCCGGACTTGACGTTCCCCACGCGCGCAAACACCATCTGCGACACGCAGCGAATAATCAGCTCCCGGATCTCCACGCTCGCAGTGCGCCTCATCACAACCACAAACGGCTTGAGGAACTCGTTCTGGAAGTTGTAGTTGCTCAGCTCCTCGCGCTCCAGGAACTTCATGGCCAGCTGGCGCAGGCTGTCAATGGCATACATGGCCACTGAGAGGTTGGGCATGCATCCCACCGTCACGAAGTAGTCTGCCAGCACAGCCCAGATTCGCGACCAGACGAGCCGAATGCGGCTCATGTTGAAGTGGCTGCATCGGGGAACAAGGAGCGAGAAATTGGGAGGGAGGCGGGGGTGGGGGTGGGGGTGGGGGTGGGGGTGGGGGTGGGGTGGGGTGGGGTGGGGTGGGGTGGGGTGGGGTGGGGGCTAAGGGAACTCGTTCTGGAAGTTGTAGTTGCTCAGCTCCTCTCGCTCGAGGAACTTCATCGCGAGCTGGCGCAGGCTGTCTATCGCCTGCCGATTGAGGTATTGTCTCTTCTAAGGTGCATTCAAGGCGGGGAAAGCTTACGCAATCTTGACAATCTTGGTCAGGGAAAAGACTCTCGGTTCCGTGGGCGAGCGCAGCTCCTCCTGAGACACCTTGCAGAGGGCTTTCACGAACTCCACTATCTCCTGCCCGTTGAGGTATTGTCTCTTCTAAGGTGCATTCAAGGGGGGGGGGGGGGGGGGGGGGGGGAAGCTTACGCAATTTCGACGATCTTGGTCAGAGAGAAGACTCTGGGCTCCGTGGGCGAGCGCAGCTCCTCCAGAGAAACCTTGCAGAGGGCTTTCACGAACTCCACGATCGCCTGCCCGTTGAGGCGCTCGCTGCGGGAGAAGAGACGCGATACCTCGTCCGATCCCACCTGCTCCAGCAGACCCAGGTTAGCCACCAGTAGCTGCACCTGTAGTTGTGCAGGTGATGAACAGGAATGTTGGAAGGGGGAACGAAGTTAGGATGTGGACACATGGTTCAATAGAGAGGCCTGATCTCATCCGACCCCACCTGCTCCAGCAGACACAGGTTAGCCACCAGCAGCTGCACCTGTAGTTGTGCACGTGATGAAGAGGAATGTTGGAAGGGGGAACGAAGTTAGGATGTGGACACATGGTTCAATAGAGAGGCCTGATCTCATCCGACCCCACCTGCTCCAGCAGACACAGGTTAGCCACCAGCAGCTGCACCTGTGATTCAGAGAGTAGGGGGGGAGGGGGAGTGTGGGAAGAGGGAGTGACGCTAGAAAGATGCATATATTGCCAGAGAGAGAAAGCAACCTCGTTTGACCCCACCTGCTCCAGTAGGCCTAGGATAGGGACCAACAGCTGCACCTGTGATTCAAAGGACCGGAGGGGAAATGAGGAAAGAAGAATTGGGGACAGAGAAGGGGGCATATGGCATCCCACATAATCTATCCCTGTAGGCCCTGCTTGTTAGAAATAGGCTGTCAACACTTTGTGTACTCTATTTTATATGCTGTAGGTCATTTGTGGGTTGGGTGTAGATTTGTAATCCCAACCCTATCTGGTTAAGATTCCCTCGTAATCCAACAAGTCTGCTAACTCACCATTGAAAATTTGCTTGGAATTCCCATCCCATCCTTTCCCTAGCTTTGCTCAACTCAACCCTCTTTGTGCTTGAAGGCCTAGTGCCTTCTATTGTAATCAATCAGTTCAGCTCCATTTCTATCACTGCTATCTGGCAGGAGTATTGAGAGGGGGAAACAGTTCGTGCCGTATCTCAAGGCACTGTAGCCCTGCTATCTGGCAGCACAGGGGACTGACTGAGGGAGCGACACGAAAGAGAAATTCATCTGTTCCCATCTTCCCACCCCTGTGAATGCAACATACATCTCCCACGGACTAGCCCCATCTGGCTTCTCTCTAAAAGCACTGACCTGGTCGGGGGAGAGGTGCGAGAGGGACACGCCCACGCCCACCCCTGTGGGTCCTCCGGCGATCATCCCCTGTGGGTCGTATGACCCTCGCCTCACTAGCTTCTCCACCTGGTGCAGCTTCCCAGTTACCTGGGGGCATTAAAAAGGAGGGGAGGGAGGGAGAGGGCAGGCAAGCAGGGAGCGGGGGGAGACCACGTCACATAAACAGGGCACACACATCGCACAATTTTTAAGCGCCCCAAAAGCCATAAACAGGGCACACACATTGCGAGTCATGCAGGAAACTCATGTTGCGATTCACTTCCACTCACATTCTTCCAGGCAGGAGCCTCGCCTCCCTCGCCAAACCTCTTTGCCTGCCCCCGCGGCGTCCCAGCGTCCCCCGCACTCCCCCGCGGCGTCCCAGCATCCCTCTGCCCCCCCCCAACCACCCCACGCCCCTCCCCGCCCCCATACACCGACGCTGCCACCCCCCTCCCTCCGCCCCTCTTCCCCTGGGGATCCAGCGGCTGCGGGCGCTGCTGCTGGGTGAGCGGGGGGAGCTGCGGCGCGGCGGAGAAGAAGTGGGAGTCGGTGGGGGCGCCCTCGCCGATGAGGTGGAGATGCTCGTAGCGCGACACGCACGTGAGCACGTGCTCCCACGCGTCCTGCAGGTAGTTGCCATCGTCCTCCGCTACTAGCAGCAGGCTCTGTATGGAGGGGAATGAGTGTGGGTGGGGGGTTGGGAAGGAGTGCAGAAAGGGGAGGGACGAAGTGGAAGGGATGAGAGGGCGAAGGTTGGGGGAGGGTGGTGTTTGAGAGAGTGGGGAGCTGCAGCTCGGCAGAGAAGAAGTGGGAGTCGGTGGGGGCGCCCTCGCCGATGAGGTGGAGGTGCTCGTAGCGTGACACACACGTGAGCCAAGCTCCCACGCATCCTGCAGGTAGTTGCCATCGTCCTCTGCTACCAGCAGCAGGCTCTGTATGGAGGGGAATGAGTGTGGGTGGGAGTGCAGAAAGGGGAGGGACGACAGTGGAAGGGATGAGAGGGCGAAGGTTGGGGGAGGGTGGTGTTTGAGAGAGTGGGGAGCTGCGGCGCGGCGGAGAAGAAGTGGGAGTCGGTGGGGGCGCCCTCGCCGATGAGGTGGAGGTGCTCGTAGCGCGACACGCACGTGAGCACGTGCTCCCACGCGTCCTGCAGGTAGTTGCCATCGTCCTCTGCTACCAGCAGGAGAGACTGGATGTAGGGGAATGGGTCGGGGGAGGAGCGCAAAGGGGGAAGGGCGAGGGGGAAAAGATGCGGCGGAAAGCGGGAGGTGAATGGGGTGGTTGGAGGTGACACACCCACCCATCCACCCCCACCTTGATGGCGTCCAAATTCTTCTGCTTGAGGTCTGCTGAAATTTGCATATGTACAACGCAGGTCTGCTCATATTACACTTGACCAAGCCCACTCACCCAACCGTCCACCCACCCACTCACCTCACCCACCCACCTGATACAAATCCACCCATCACGCACCTTGATGGCGTCCACGTTCTTCTGCTTGATGTCTGCTGCGGAGTGCAGCGACGTGAACTTGGCCAGCGACGTCACAAACGCATCGCGTTGCATCTGGTGGGGCAGGCAGAAAGGCGGTGAAAAAAAGGAAAGGAGGTTGATGAGGAGTAGATAGGAGACCTTTCAGTTGACTCACAAGTTAAATTGCATACTGTCCCCACATGCACAAGGTGTGCTTTGCCACACCCCCACAAGTCCAATGCCCCTCACATGGCCCAGCCTAACACACTATCCCTCACATGCTGCTCATATGGCCCCTCAAGTGACCCTCACGTGCATGCCGAGAACAGCAGAGACATGCACGGCGTGCCCCTCCAGGATCTGACTGCTCTGTCGCAGCCTCCTCACTCGTCACCGCATGCCCGTGCCACATGCCCCATAGCATCCCTTCCCTCACATTCCCCCGCACATGCCCCATAGCATCCCTTCCCTCACATTCCCCCGCACATGCCCCATAGCATCCCTTCCCTCACATTCCCCCGCACATGCCCCATAGCATCCCTTCCCTCACATTCCCCCGCACATGCCCCATAGCATCCCTTCCCTCACATTCCCCCGCACATGCCCCTCACCTGCATGCCGATCACAGCAGTGACATGCACGGCGTATCGGAACCCCTCCAGGCACTGCTCCGTGACAGCCTCCTCATCCATGCATGCCCATACCACATGACTCTCACCATCCCTTCCCTCACATGTCACTTACGTGCATGCCGATCACAGCAGTGACGTGCACGGCGTATCGGAACCCCTCCAGGCACTGCTCCGTGACAGCATCCTCCTCCGTGGTCTCCAGGGGCACGGAGAACGCGGCTAGCATGGGCGCCCACACCACGTCAACCATGGGGCGGATGATCTGCACGTCTGAGGCGGCGTAAAACACCGACCTGAGGGAGAGGGTGGGCAAGTCAAGGGAGAAGGGCGAGGAAACGTGCACAGATGAATGACACTGTTGCTAGCATGGGCGCCCACACCACGTCGACCATGGGGCGGATGATCTGCACGTCTGAGGCAGCATAGAACACCGATCTGGAAAATTCTAGATAAGGGAGGGCACAACGAAGCAGGAGGGATGCTTGTCGGGGGCTGAGATGCAGGATGGAGAGGTGAAGCAAGAAAAAAAGTGAAAACTGCATTCAGGTATCCCCGTATTGCTGCTCACCATGACCTCCTCCAGTGGCTGCTCACCCTGACTGCTCCCCATTGTTGCTCACCCTGACTTGCCCGCCTTGGCAAGGAACTACTGCTGCATGTGCTTCACCACCTCGTCGCTCGTCTCCCAACCTTGCTGCTGCTGGAAACATGCCCACGCTTACCTACTGATCTTCCCACACTGACGCTCACCCTGACTTGCCCGCCTTGGCACGGAACTGCTCCTGCATGTGCTTCACCACCTCATCACTCGTCTCCAGCTCCGTGGTGGCTCTCGTGCGTCCCGACATGAGGTTCAGAATGCTCTCCGGCCCCAGCAGCGCGTTGCCCGCTGCGCTGCTCACTGCTGCAGCCTTTGAGCACCACTTGCCCTGACCTGATTCCCCCCTCTTACTGAGCTCACCCTGACCTTCCCACACTGCCGCTCACCCTGACCTTCCCCCATTGCTGCTCACCCTGACTTGCCCGCCTTGGCACGGAACTGCTCCTGCATGTGCTTCACCACCTCATCACTTGTCTCCAGCTCCGTGGTGGCCCTCGTGCGTCCCGACATGAGGTTCAGAATGCTCTCCAGCCCCAGCAGCGCGTTGCCCGCCGCACTGCTCACTGCAGCCTTGGACACCACTCCTCCGGGCCCCAGGATCTCCGGCTTCATCTTGATCTCGTTCCGTGTGATGCGGTCGTACAGCCCGCCCAGAAACTCCTCTGGTATGTCCTTCCCGTCGTCGATTCCACGGTTGTTCTTCAGGAAGTCGGCTTTACTCATCTGGGAAGGGAGGAAGCAGGATGTATGGGTGGGAAGGGGGTGCATGGAAGAGGAGGAGGCGTGGAAGGGAAGGGGGGGTGGAAGAGAAGGACGCCTGGGTTGTGTTGGGTGCGTCTGTGTTGAGCATGAAGCTTGAGTGCGAGAGACTAAGCAAGCAGTAACGCCGTATCCGCCTCTGTGACAGCTTTTTGAGGGGCTACATCGATCATATCATCACGCGCTCTCACCTTGGTCTTGACGCCAGGGTTATGCGCATCCGTGTTGAGCATAATCACAGAGTAAGCGAGCACGTAGGCAGTATCGGCGCTGGTGAACGCCTTGGGGTTGCAGCGGCAGTAGCGCTCAGCAAACTTCTCCATGATGCGATCAATCTTCTGCGCTTCGCCTGGCAGCCTGAACCCCAGCAGCACTGCTCGAATGGCCTCGTCAAAGTCCATTCCCTGGGGGAAAGGGGAGTGGGGGTAAGTGTTGGAGGGAGGAAACGGGAGAGGGGAGAGGGAGGTGTTAGTGAGTGGCACTTGAGATGACTGCAGCCCAGCAGCATAGCCACCAGTGAGCCTTGTCAAAGCCTAGAGGGCAGTAGCGCTCAGCAAACTTCTCCATGATGCGATCAATCTTCTGCGCTTCGCCTGGCAGCCTGAACCCCAGCAGCACTGCTCGAATGGCCTCGTCAAAGTCCATTCCCTGGCGAGGCAATGGGGGTAAGTGGGGTAGACGGCAGAGGGAGGGGAGAGGGGAGAGGGGAGAGGGGAGAGGGGAGAGGGGAGAGGAGAGAAGGGAGAGGGGAGAGGAGAGAGGGGAGAAGGGAGGGGAGAGAGGGGAGAGGGAAGAGGAGAGAGGGGAGAGGGAAGAGGGGAGAAGGGAGAGGGGAGAGGGGAGAGGAGAGAGGGGAGAAGGGAGAGGAGAGAGGGGAGAGGGGAGAGGGGAGAGGGGAGAGGGAGAGGGGAGAGGGGAGAAGGGAGAAGGGAGAGGGGAGAGAGAGGGGAGAGTGGAGAAGGGAGAGGGGAGAGGAGAGAGGGGAGAAGGGAGAGGAGAGAGAGGAGAGGAGAGTTTACACATCTTCATGTTGAATGTATCGCGCACCTGCATATGACCTTAATGCATCCCACACTCCCACTAGCAGAGTGCAACCTACTGTTTGGGAAAAGATCCCGTTTATGCCACTTACAGAGAGGTTGTATGAGTCCATGTAGGCATGCATGATCTTGATGCTCATGTCGTCCCTGTCCCCTAGGAAATCTCCAATCATGGTCTTATCCAGCCCCTCTGTTTTGCGCAGAAACGCAACTATCTCCTCCGCACCCTCGCCCAGTTTCTTCGCCTTGATCAGAAAATCTATCCCCTTTTTTGGCTTCTTGTTGAACAGGTTTATCCCCTCCTGCAGCTCCAGCTTATAAGCCCGCCTCTGCTCCAGAATTGAAGCCTCTGAAATCTCATTTCCACTGCTCACCCCAGCTGCAGGCATCCCCCCAAGCGCCTCCTCCTCCAAAGCCTCCTCTGACTTCGCAACAGGCAACACCCCAGTCCTGGGATTCACAAAATCCGGCAGCAGATCCCCCGACAGAAGATCCGGAACAGCCACAGGAGCCGCCCCTTCCCCTGCCGCCGCCGCCGCAGCCGCTGCTGCTGTTGCCGCTGCCGACGCGGCTGCCGCTGCAGCAGCAGCGCCGATTTCCGCGGCGACCTTGGGGCCTGCGGTGACGCAGAGCTGGCGGTTGGTCCAGGAGCCCATGGAGCGCAGCACCCCCACCATGCACTTGATGGCGGCCAGGCGCAGCTGCTGGTCCTGGGCCGCGTTCAGCGTTGAGTCCGCGCCGGGCGGCACTCCCTGTGCTGTCTTGAGCAGCCCGCTCACCATCCTGGGAGAAGGTTGAACCGTACAAGAGAGGGTGGGGGATGAAGATGAAAAAGAAGGGAGTAGTTGATGGGAGCTCGAGTGCACGAGATGTGTGAGGAGGATCATTGCTGATAGGGGATGCAACGCGGGAGGAGGGAATGGAGGAAAGAGGGGCAAGGCGACTCTGAATCTACGTTGAATTCGATTCTACCCTTAATCTGCTCCTACCCAGCTCACCGTTCGAAGATGCTGACAGTGGACTCCACGTCGCAGTCATAGTTGGCAAAGATATCCACCAGAATCTGCGGATCCACGCAGAGCCTCTCCAGGAACCTCAGCACGATCATCTTCTGCTGGAAATTGGCGTGGGCAACGTTTTCCAGCACGCGCAGCACGATCATGGGGAAGAAGACGCCGATTTCGGCCTTGAGGACGGAGCGGAAGCGCGTGAGGAGGGAGAAGAAGATGGAGCAGGAGAGCTGGAAGACGGACATGAGCGAAGACGTGCAGTTCTTGAGCAGCGACAGGCACAGGTACTGCTTCACTGCGCCCACGAACCTGGTGGAAGGGAGGGATTGAAAGCGAGAGCCGAGCGTGAACGAGGGAGTTGAGGGGAAGGGTTGAGGGGCAAGAGCACGTGACGCGTAAACTTGAACAGTGGGGTTGGGGTGTTCAGTTGCATCATAACATGCCTGCCACGGGCACTTCCTCACTGCCCCTTCAGACTTGTCGCAAAGGTGTGACAGCAGGGGACAAAGATGATGGGGGGGTTGTGTGGGAGGATTCCTTCTCGTTTTCAATGCCACCCCTATTTGAACTCTCATTCGAAAAACGCCACACTCAACTTATCTCTCTGAAGATGCGATAAATGGCTTTGGGAAAAGTACGAGCCTCCCTTTGTACCCAACATGGCTCACCTCTCGTTGGTGCGAAAGACAGCGCCAGAATTCTCAAGGCAGATTTTCAGCAGCTCCAGCGAGACCACCTTGCCGCGCACAGCGAACGGATCCACCACCCCCTCCGCCGGGGGAGCCTTCATAGACAGCTTGCACAGCGCGCGGAACACCAGGAACGCATCGCGCCGCAGCTTGTTCGTTATCTTCACCTCCGACTCGCCCTCCTTCTCCGGATCCACGTCAGGAATGATCACTCCGCCTCCCGCCATGGTTCCCACGGGATTTCCGGCGCCATTTGCGCTAAAACCAACAGGAACAGTGGCCACGGCGCCTGGCGGAAGCCCTATAGCGGCAGTCGCGCCGGCTTTCACGGTTACTACTTTCCCGTCTCCGCCTAAAGTCTTGGCTGGGTCGGTAACTGAACCTGCAAGCATGTTCACGTCCCAGTACTTAACGTCTAGCATATCCTTATCTTCGACTAGGCTTCCGTCGGTGGCTGCCGAGTTGATGGGTGCTACTGCGAGGTCAAACGCGCCATCGTCGAGAGATTGAGTATGCGCCGGGTTAAAAGCGACCTCGATATCCTGCACTACCTTGGTAATGAACGACTGAACGAACTGCGTTACATTCTGGTCCGACGCTAGCCTATCCGAGGGCTCCATTAAATCCGCGACCACGATTGGCTGAACCGGAACTGTCGACGAATCCGCTTCCATCCTCCGAAATACTATAACGAGCATCTGCGTGAGGGACGCCTTGGCTGTGGTTTGATTAACGGGGACCTTACTACCGAGGTAAATGTTGTAGCAGGTGCGGACAGCCTTAAGTACGCACTCGCCGTGAACGCGGAGGGAGGTGGATGTGACAGCAGATAGCATAGTCTTCAGGACTAGTAGCTCCACTGCTTCGTCTGCTATATCGTAGCACTTGCACACGGATTCCATGACCTGCACACGAAGGAACGGACACATTCGACCATTCATGAATGTATGCATTCAGAGCGCACAGATAGGGAATTCGCGATGAAGCTTGTGTGATCTCGCCAGATTTACAGCCATCGCAGATATCCGCATCAATTCGAGGTGAGCACCTCATTAGTCTAGTGTAAATACTCCCTCACGATTTGCGATCGATATTCTCCATTGTGACATTACTCCATCAGAAGTTACCTTGCAAGGAACCTTACCTTCCTGCTCACCTCCCCTCTACTTCCTGTCTTCTCTTAAGCAACGTACCCGCGTCAGCAGCTTGCTTTCACGCGTGGTCCCTCCAACGTCCATCTCTCCCCTCAAATGCTGATGCGCAACCATCTTCTGGAGGCAATCCAGCGTCGGCTCGACCACCTTCGCCGCGAGCGTCTCGCACGCCGTATGAAGCGGCGCCATGATAAACTCCGCATCCTTAATCTTCAACACCCGGTTACCATCGTCGAACAATCCAGCCGGAAACGCTGCGCCAGAAGATCCTCCCCGTGAAGCGGATTCGTCAAAGGGATTGACGTAGCCAGGCGGGTCCTGAGCCGGAGGTTGCCATTCCACGCCTGGGTTGGGATTCTTCGCGAACCATTCTATCAGGCCCTTGCAGTCTTGTACGAGCCTCTGGTGTTTCCGCCATGACGCGTTCTTGATGATTTTCTCAAGTGTGGGGACGACTAGCTTGGCCAGCCGACCGGGTTCAGTCTGCGGTGGCTGTGGCGTCGCCATGGTGTAAGGCGATTAGTCACGGTACCAGGCGAGAGGGGAACAGATATACACCTAGCAATGTGACAGAAACACGAGGTCGGCGGGAATCGTGATGCCTGATGGCAACTGATATGAAACCGAGATTGATTTTAGGTTAGTGAACGAGATCCGCGACAGCACGAAAGCAGTGTGCCGATCAAGCATGGAGCCGACCTTGTTCAGGCTATGAAAATCTACGGAGCCTGACGAGACCAATCCATAACAAAGCCTCTGAGCCACCCTAGAACACACAAACCACTGAGGACTTCACGAATCTGTGAAGGATGCAAGTTTTGATGGTGAATGGATTTCCTGCCAACCTCCTTCCCTCTGCCTGCACTATGGCAGGTCGCTTGAAACATCTGTGTCAGGGAATGTAGCTCACGTCGTACCTTGGGATTGGCCAGGTGAAGTCATCGCATCCAACGGCTAGTCCTAGCGTTGGGGTGTGCAATGAACCATCGGGATGTGCGCGTGGTCAAACCCGCCAACCTTGAGGGCACCAGCGCCAGCGCACCAAGCCTGGAAAGATGCGCGCAGGATGTGCGAAAACCGAGGGGAAACCTGGTGCCCTCGGTTTGAGTGGCAGATCCCACTGAAGTTTGTGAGGGAGAATATACCGTTTGTAACCATCATGGGACTCAAAAACATTTTTGGTAAAACAATAAATGATACGGTCACTGCAAAGGGTACTTTTACGCGACTGATAAAAGCGTTTCATAAAATCAGTCACAATCAACTGGTAAAAAAAACGCGAATGGTCATGGATGAAACTCTTGCCAAAACAAAATGAGACCCAAAAAGAACCTGGATGCATTTTCGGATGGTCAACCCTAAATACGCAACCTGTCAGGTGTTTCGGGTTGATCCGTTCCCAAACCGCATCCGATTCCGATTGGGTTTTAGTATTTTAACAAGTTCGCAGATTGGTTGGACGCGAGCGGGAATTTTGTTGAGTTTCAGGTTTTTCTGGCGGGAGTTACATGTGTGATCATTCGCGTGATTTTTTACCCGTTGTTAGTGACTGAATCCGTGACCCCGCTTACCAAACCCGTCAGAAAAACCGATATAGTGACCGTACGCGTTTGTTTTTTCAATCACGTTATCGAGTCCGAAGTTGGTTACTTGTGGCATATTGTCCCAATTTGTGAATCTCTGGCGGACTTCGTCACTGTAACAATCTCAAAACTCCCTCAAACCAATGGATAAGAATGATTGCTACCTTCATTTAAGAATTATACGAATGGTTTTTAAGAGCTGACATAAACTGATAACTTGACTGGATCAGGCATCCTCCACTGGTTGTACATAATAGAACCTTTATGCAACATTTTGTGATTTAAGTGAACGTAAGCCCCTGCCAGGCACAAACGCTCACATCAGCCTGGTTGACTAGAGCCTTGCTTAAGTTCTTGACACTCAAATTCAAAAGAGGCATATTCAGCTTCTAACTTGGCCGTCAGTGTGGCAACCTGCCCACACACACAGACAGATGCAAGTGAAAAGGAATAGAGTCAATGCGACTGCATAAATAACATGGAATAGAAGTGCTATGTGATGTGTTGGTTTGTAACAAGGTTACTGCTGAGCTGTCCCCGAAGTCAGTGCACTTCACCCCCAACTGCTTCATGGCAGCAGCACGTGGCAGGTAGCCCTTGGGCATTTCCAATATGGCAGAAACGTCTGATGACAGGATTACCTGCTTCCTTGCAGCAGCTATGGCAGTCAGCTCTTGTTCATCTGAGAACTGCAGAAACCACTGCGACAACGGATGGTCTAGAGTGTCCCCTCTATTCTCTCCTCGCAAATCTGATTCCAAGTTACGTGCATCTGCAGGGGCCGAACTGGAGCCATCTGCACAAAGATGCGCAGAAAAAAGTGGATTATGAATTAAAGCAGGGAAAGTCTCAAATTCTGTCACAAGCCACAACCTCCAGATGTTTAGAAATTCACTGAAAAGAAAAGGGCTCAAGCATGGAACATTCAAATATATTTTTTTCCTGGACATTAGTCAGTTGTGTAAGCATTTGAGATTGTGATCTCTACCTTGTGGTATCGCTGCGTGGTTGCCAGCAGCAGTGATGGCCTCCTCACTGCCGTGAATCCGTACCATGGGGTTGGAGCGGATGCGATGGAAGAACGCGATCTGGAGACACGCATAAAGTGGTTATTAGATACAAATTGTGAGCCACAGTTACAAGAACTAGCTTTTGAGGCGCCTGAAAAAAAAAAAAAACCAGAAATTCAAACAAAAGTTGTTGCCAGAAACACAGTTTGTGAACCACAGTTATAAAAGGAACGGTATCTGAGATGACTGGATAAAACACATGTGAACAAGACCTGCTGCCCACCACTGTACCCATGGTTCAAAAAACCACTTACCTGCATTTTAGATCCCCATAAGTTAACCCGTACCTGTGGCTCGCAGAACACTAGCTCATCGTATTGCTCAGCCACAACAGGCCGCTTGGTGCTGAGAGGCTGGTTCGGAGCGCTGCCTTCTGGGTACAGCCGAAGGTGATGGGTGCTGGGCGGGGGAGGAAAAGGGGGAGTGGGTAAGGGGGAGAAGGGGAAGGGGGGAGTAGTTGAGAGAAAGGGATGGGAAAGGATGAGGAAAAAGCAGGACAGTTTCTCAAAACTGGATGTTGACACCTAAAATGGGCGCGAGGGTTGCTTTTTGAGTCGACTCAAAAGTCAACTTGACACCTAAAATGGGAGCGAGGGTTGCTTTCCGCGTATCAGCACATTCAGAGTGTGTGTGCTGGAAGAAATAACACGTGCAGTGGAGTCTCCTCGGGCCATGTGAGGGTGGGCGGCATGGTGATGAATGACTGTATTTTCCGGCACGCCTACTCACTGTCGGCGTGAAAGACAATGGTCATGGCGATCTCAAACTCGGCCCAGCCAATCTCCGACAGTTGAGATTCTTACAAGTATAATGTTCCTAAGAATGACTTTTGCAACAAGACATTTAGAGCCTGTAAGTAAAGTGGATCAGACGGAGTTGTTACAAACAGAACTGTTACCAAAACCTGGCCCAAGTTAACTCACAGCTCAGCTGGCATTTCAGAAGCATCGGCGTGGAAGACAATGGTCATGGCGATCTCAAACTCGCCCCAGCCACTCTCCGACAGCATGAAGGGCGGCCGCTCCACAATGCGCGTCGGATTGGAGAAGCTCGGGTGCAGCTGAAACACCACCTGGTCATTGGGGTATTTGTAGGGAGAGGATGTGGAGGGTAAAGACAGCAGGAGGGAGGTGTGTTTCGGAAAAACAGCAGAAGGAGAGGGAGGTCGAGGAAGCATGAGTTTATGACATGCGGAAAGAGGGGAAAGGTGTGAATCTCAAACTCGCCCCAGCCGCTCTCCGACAGCATGAAGGGCGGCCGCTCCACTATAAGAGAGGGATTGGAGAAGCTCGGATGCAGCTGAAACACCACCTGGGGTATTGGGGAGAAAAAAGGGTGGGGGAAGAAAAATGCGGATTGGATTGGAAAAAGCTCGGATGCAACTGAAACACCACCTGGTCATTGGGGTATTGGGAAGAAAAGGCGTGGAAGGTGCTATACTCGGTTAAGAAACTCTCTGGAAGAGGCAGACTGGGTGCATGCACACTGGCCTACCTGGCCCACGGGCGCACCTTCTCCACAGCCCTTTCTGTCACCAGCATACCTTCTTCACCATACTACCAAGGTCGCCATTGTCAGCTGCCCGCACAACCTTCACTCATTCATGGCAATGATTCATATATCTTAATCAACCCACCGCCCTCTCTGGCTGGCACCAGCATACCTTCTTCACCACACTACCAAGGTCGCCATTGTCAGCTGCCCGCAAAACCTTCACTCATTCATAGCAGTGATTCATATATCTTAATCAACCCACCGCCCTCTCTGGCTGGCACCAGCATACCTTCTTCACCACACTACCAAGGTCGCCATTGTCAGCTGCCCGCACAACCTTCACTCATTCATAGCAGTGATTCATATATCTTAATCAACCCACCGCCCTCTCTGGCTG